ACCTGTGGCTGGTTTCTTTTCCTTTTTTAAACTATATACATACACCTGCCCTTCTCCCTCTGTAATTTTGACCCTTGTGCACACTTGACATCTTTTTCGCTCCACCCCCCACCTCCATTTAGCCCAGTTATAACAACTAATTTTTGGAGCGTTTACCGCGTGTCTGACACTTTGAAATGCTTTATGAATATTTCACTTCGCCTTCATAACAACCGGATGAAGTAGATACTTTTTAAATCTACATTGTAAAGACTAGCATAGAGTAGTTCAGTCAGTTGTCCGCTAGGCGCTTATATCGGTATGAAGCACCACAGTCAGGGGAAGCGAGCCTAAGTTAGTAATGACAAGTACTCTTTCTTTGGTATTTAAAACCTTTTTTTTTTTTTTTTAATTGAGTTGTAATCACAGTTAGATGCACAGATCTTAATTCTATATCTCTATAACTCCCCACCCAACATCCTTACCTATGTAACCACCCAGATCAAGTTACAGAACATAGCAGTCACATCGGAAGGTTTCTTTCCAGTGTGCTCCTTCCTTTCCCCCAAGATGAAATCACTGTTCTGAATTCTGTCACCATAGATGACTTTCACTAGTGTTTGAACATCATATCAATGGAATTATACTGTTAGTAGTCTTTTGTGTTTGGATTGTTTCATTATTATGTGTATAAGGTTCATTCATTTTGTTGAGTGTACCTAGTGGTCATTCTTTTTTATTGTTGTGTGGTGTTCCCTTGTTTAAACATAAACAATTTACTTTCCTAGATGGATATTTGAATGTTTTGTTGTTGTGAAACTTGACCATTATGAATAAAACTGAGTTCTTGAATGTGTCTTTTGGTAGGCTTATATGCGCTCATTTATCTTGGATGTATAAGTACAGGTAGAAATGCTAGGTCATAGAACAGGTGTATGTTTAGTATTAGTGGATAATGCCAGAAAGGTTTTATCAATTTTCTCTCTAGCAGTGTATGAGAGTTGTAGTGGCTTTGCATTCTTGCCACTACTTGGTATTGGTGGTCTTCTGAATGCTCTCCATCTGTTATATTTCATTGTGGTTTCAGTTGCATTTCCTTGAAGAGACATCATGTTGGGCCCTATTTCTTACACTTGTTG